AGTGAACAAAACCAAGGGGCCTGCCCTCCGGGGACTCACATTCTAACAAGGGGAAGTGATAAACAATAGATATGACAAACTGTTGCATATGAGGAAGTGACAGATGCTATGGAAAAAGGGGTCAAGCCGAGGAAAGAGGATTGTTTAGGGTGCAAGTTATAATTTTTAACATGGTGATCAGAGTTGGCCTTGCCAAGAAGGTGACAAGATATCTAAGCAAAATCAAGGAGGAGGCGGGAGAGTAAGCCTGAGGTGTCGGGTTCCAGGGCAGCTGAGCTGTCTCCAGGGCACTAGGAGCATTAGCTTTACTCCTTGGGAAGGGCTACCAGAGTCTATGAAATGCCCCTCCCGGGGCAGATCCATTGATGTGGAAACAGTCTGAGGACTGGAAAGGGTCTTTAAAAGGGTACTTAGTCCAGTCCCACCTATGATGGTTGCATTTTCTCCAAGACGTGGGATGGGCTTTTTTTCTCCTGGACTTGCTTTTTTTGAGCTGCAAGACCAGCCTTCTCCCAGTGTTATTATCTCTCATCTTTACAGCAACATCCTACGCAGTTACATGACCCCTGTTTCCCACAGAGGTACACCAAGGTTAAGGGGCTTGCCCAAGGTCAGACACCCAGGAAGCAGTGGAGCCGCAGGCCTGGGTGCCTTCTGTGCCACCCTTTCTCTCCCCCCGCTACCATCCCATATCTCACCTGTCTCCAACTCCTTTTCTTTCTAGACCAGCATTCTCCAAACTGGAGGACTCCTTTGAGGCCCTCTCCCTGTACCTTGGGGACCTGGGCATCCCGCTGCCTGCAGAGCTGGAGGAGCTGGACCACACAGTGACCGTGCAATATGGCCTGACCCGGGACTCGCCCCCCTAGCCCCGGCCCAGCCCCCTGCGGGGGGGCGTTCCACAGCCAGCACTGCCCCCTCTGCGCCCCATCCCTGCGGTGGGCAGGGCCTTCCGTGCTTCCTGTGGATTGGCAGCTTGTTTAGAAGCAGAACCAGCCATCCCTACTACCTCCCCAGGAGGCGAGCGGGTGCAGCACCGGGGAAGCCACCTCCACAGGTTCTGGGGCCTGGTTACTGTCTGTAAATCCAACACTCGCCTGAAAGCTGTGAAGAAGAAAACAAACTAACAAACAAAAAAAAAGCCTGGTCCCCATGCCAGGAGGAATCTGTTACTCATGACCACTCGGGAACTCCCTGGCAGTGGATTCCGGGAGGCTCTTGCTTACACTAATCATTGTGACCTGGACCTGCTGGGCAGGATCCCAGGTGCACCTGCCTGTGGGCTCTGAAGCCTCTGGTCCAGCTGGTGCAGAAGGACTTCTCATGAGAGCATGGCAGAGTGAGCGGCCATCCGAGGATGTGAAGTGACAGTGGTGCTACCCCCTTCCACGCCACATCCCGCCCTCCCCTGGGCAGGGTCAAGGGAGTAGGATTTGAAGGGTCCCTTAGTCAGTTTGTAGTGTGTCCGGCCAGGAGTCAGGGGAAGGGCTGGTTTCTGTTCACCTCCCGGTGAACATCAGCTCGAGGGGGAGCTTCCCCCCATGTTCTCAAACTGAGCGGCTGGAGACTGGCTGGGAACTTCCTTTCTGCCTCCCACAAGCAGTCAGCCACAAGTGCAGGAAGAGGCTGGGGCTGGAAGGAAAGAGGCCCTGCCCACTAGAAAGCTCTAGTATCCTGGCTGCTGTCACTCACACCCTGGTAGGCACCTCAGGAGCCTGGGATTTTGCTAGGTGGGTTCTGGAGGACAGTGTGGCTGGTCACAGGCCCAGTGTATGGGGCGGGGTGCTGGGAATCTCAGCAGTCTCCCAGCCTTGTCCTCGTGGCAGCCGATGCTCACCCCTCACTGTGCCTGATCCAGGCAGCAGCTTGGGTGGCAAGAGGTGGTGGCAGGGTCCCAGAGTAGAGGTGCTGGGGGGGACATCTCCCCGAGCCGGGCTCTCTGGCTTCTACCTCCCATGTTGGCTGGCCCAGCTCATGAGCTCCTGGCCCCAGCCTCCTGAGCCACAGCTCAGAGCTGTGGGTGCTGAAAAGCCCAGGGGACACCCTCTACCCTGGCTTCCAGAGCTGGGGTGGGGGTCTTGAATACAAGTAGATTTGCCTCCCCATAAGTGGGACCTTGCACCATATTTAACAGATTAGGAGTGGGTTTGGGATCTTACTGCGATGGTGGTTATATTGGGGGTTGGGGGGAGGAGGCGGGTGGGAGTGATGCAGGAGAACAGTTGCTGTTCAGACTATCTTGTTATATCTGTGGGGTGTTATGTGAAACGCTGTACATAGACCTGATGAGTTGTGGGACTAGATGTCACCTCTGGCCAGAGTTTCCTTGCTGTCTAGACCATACTTAAGTGTGGAGTGTGCAGGTTTGCTGTAGGGTTGAGCCCTGGGCTCCCGGCAGCGGGAAGGCCAGCATTGTGTGGCTGGTGGTGCCTCAGTGGTCCCCACAAGTGTGGGGGGTGGGCCCAAGCGGGGCCATCGAGCAGACCAAATAAATTAAGCAGTTAACATAACCGACCATGCTGAGAGTGAGAGTGACTTGCGGCCTGGTTCAGGGAGATGCATGTGGAGGGTGTGCTGGCCACTTTGACCGCACGGCAGGGACTTCTCATGCCCCCCACCTCTGATTCCCCTCCTTACACAGACACAAGCCTGCTCCAGAGAACATGCACGACCCACCTGAGGCAGCCCCGGCCTTGCAGCAGGTCTGACTCCCACCTCCTGCCTGAGTCACCCCTTCAGGGACATACGCTGCCGCCCTCTGACATCCGTGCACTCCCATAGCCAGGCTATCCTGGAGTCTTCTCTGCAGGGCTGGGTGCCACCTTCATTAAGGGAAGAAATGTATGCAAGTCACCCCCACCCCTGGTGTTTCCCTGCAAGTGCTAAGGGGGAGACCTGCTTCTTGCTTCTGCACATGGGGTCTGTCGTGGAGGGTGACGGCTGGGCAAGATGTTGCGATCTGGCTTGTAGGATCCTGGGCACACTAGGTATCCACATACCCAAAGGTGATTTCTCCAAAAGCTGGAGTCCAACTGAAGGGCAGGATCTGTTTCCTGGAAAAACTGATACTCTAGAAGTATAGAGCAGTGTCTTGAGTATGGGCAGAGGTCACCCTAAGTGTTCCTAGTAGGCTGAGAACCTACTGCTAAATCCCTGCTAAAAAGCCCAACGAACTCCCATTGGTAGCTTCTTCTGGAGCCCTAGGAGTCACCCCCGCAGGGACCTTCCACAGCCCAGAGCTGCTCCCGGGAGCCTGGAGACTCTTCCCCCATCTGTACACCTATCCCTCCTTCAGCTGCTACAGCACCACCACCCACCACCCCGTCTCCAGCCCCTGCCAGGGGCTGCCTGGATGTTCATTTTAACTATCTCCACCTTGGAAAGAATGCTGACGGGGTGAGGATTTGCAGTGACCGGCCTCCTTTGGGATACCACACACCCTCTTTCCTGCAACTTCGACCTGAAAAGCTCCTGATGGTGACGCCCAAACACGGAGGCTGCAGTTCCCAACCATCCAGCTGCTGCTGCCTCCTAGGTGCAGGGCCCGAGTGAAGGACAGAGCCAGAGCTTGCCATGCAGGTGTTGACAAGGTAACCAAAAACTTTCCAACTTTTGGGAGGAGGGTCCTGATACCCCACAAAAACTTGGCAATATGGAGTCGTCTTTTTTTTTATTATTTATATAAGTCAAATGCAGAGCAATTTCCCGCACTTTATAGGCAGGTGTCAGAATGAGGTATATAAAACATGTACACAGAGAAATGCTTTTATAGAAAAGTAGAAACCAGTAATGTTCTCTTCTGCATCTCTACCAACAAGGGACCCCCTGAGGCCTAGGTCCCCTCAGCAAATCACTTCCAGGAACAGCCTGCCAGAGAGACTGGGCCCCACTAACCCCTCTCCACGTGAGGCAGTGGCAGGGCTTTGGGAAGGAAGCTCTGTGGACGGAAAGCAGTGCTAAGGCCTCCGAGCGTGATATGAGGACCTCAGGGCTGGCCGTGCTGGTAGCTTCCTCTGTGACCCTGAATGTCAGTTTCCACTTCTGGCCCCTCTGTCCAAAAGGCTTCGGGAACCCTAAGGTCCCTCAATGGTTCTATGATTATTTTACAAGTTAGGGGTCGTGGCCCTCGCCCTATTGACCCCACAGGAAGGCGCTGGCCTGGAGGCTACAGAGCCACCTGCAGATTTGGGCCGAGGCAGGCGCCAAGTCCTGAAGCCCCCTCCATCACCCTGCCTCCGAGTGGGTTTCCAGGTTAACCTCTCAGAAGCAGTTCACAAGGCCTCACCCACAGTGTCATTCCCGTAGGTTAGCTGGCTGCTGTCTCACCCCTGAAGAATGAAAGGTCACTGTCCACCCCGAAGAGAGACCATCTGGGACACTCCAGGTCCACTCGGGTCCTGTGGCCTGAGGCAGCTGCAGATCCTTCTTTATCCTCTTCCTAAGTGGAATGTTCAGTGCGATTCTTCCCTTCCTTTCCTTTCAAAACAGGAAGAGTCCCTGGGCCCAGCCCACGGTTGTCAAGGCACATCACTGCCAGCAATCCCCCCGCCTAGATCCCGTTCTCAACCCACAGTTCTGACTTTCGTACAGACTTATTTCCATTTCTCAGAGGTCTGCAGGGAACTGCATCCCAAATATTTAAAAAACTAAATATCTTTTTTAAACACCGCCTCTTGACCTACATGACCTGAACTGTGAATAACAGTGTGCACCACTCAAGCCCAAGTAGAACACATGGGGAGGCAGAGGCTGAGGCCATCTTGGACAATAAAGCACAGAGGAGCTGGGGGGGCTCCCTGTCCGTCCCTGGTTCAGTTCCGGGGCACTGGAAGCCCCTGTTGGCAGCACTGCTGTGGGGACTGCCGCTGCCTCCATCCACGGGCAAAATCCTGCTCCATGGGATGGAGAAACAGCATTGGTAGGACCCCACCCAGCCTCATCCTCAGCCCACAGTACCACCTGCTTGTCTTAGGATTCACCAAAAACAAACCAAAAAAATAAGTGGGGGTTTTTAACCACAACAAAAAGTGTAGATCCTCCCAGCTGTAGGTGGGTAGGCGGTCCTGCACCAGTGTCTGCATGGGCTTCTGCCCATCATGGGGGGCTCAGGCGCCTGGAGTGCCCGCCTGGCCCATGAGGGGGGCACTGCCCTCCTGAAGGTCAACTGGAGTCTGGCTGGCATGGACCACAATGGTCTTCTCATCCACGATCTCACAGTTGGGGTTGGTGAAGGCAGACAAGGGCAGGGTGATTCGTTGCATCTCCCTCTCACACACCTTCCGCTCGTGCTGCTCTTTCAGGTCCTTGCCCCTGGCAGGAGAAGAGGGAAGCGTTCAGGCTGTGCCTCCTGCATGGCTCTACTCCTAAGGTGGCATCTTGAGGCCCAGCAGGGGCAGGGGCTGGCCATGGTCACAGCCAGTCAGTGGCTCATGGCCTAGATTTCTGTTCTGCCAGACTGCCTTAACTCAGCAAGGAGCCCCTAAACCTCATCTACATGAACCTCACACAGCTGCAGTGGGGCTCAATGAAGATACTGTGTAGAAAAGAGACTCTTAAAGCAAGGTGGAGTTTTGCTTTTTCAGCCCAAGGTGCCACAAGACCCAGAGAATTTTCAGCCCTCACCTATAAAATTGTCCAGAAAACTGACCTGACCATCCTGTTCTGAGACATCTTATCCAAAATTTCCAGAAGCTGTGAGCCCTGGCTAGAAACAGGGACCATGCAGGGGCCAAAAAGGACTCTGAGGGCTCCTCAGGTCAATGGGAGACAATGACCTTGGGACCCTGAGTTTTCACACGCCTTCCAATTCTCATGGTGCTCAGTGACCCAATCAGGCCCTGATATTGCCCCATTTCACTCACATGAAGTGCTCGCTCCATGCTAAGAGCTTTACGAGCGTTATCTCACTTCATTCGGAACCCTAACAATTGCATCTTATCATTCATTTTATAGATGAGGAAATAAGTCCAGAGAAACTGAACTCTCCGAATGACATGGTGGGCTCAAACCCAAGTCTGTCAGACTCAGGCTGATGCTCAACAGAAGTTCTGACCCGATCAGGGTCACCCTCAAAGAAACAGTGGGGCAGAGACTCACATACCCAGTCTTCCAGCTGCACATGTTCTGCCCATCCCATGGGACCAGGCCAACCCCACTGCAAGCCAAAGGGCTTGGTGCATTCCTGGCACACTGCACACCAGAACCAGCCCCCAGCACGCAGGTCAGCATCGTCTGACACAGCAACTAGATACGTGGGCTCAGCTGTCAGAGGAAATCTTTCCAGAAGGAGCCCACTCCAAAGAGGCCTTGAAACAAGTAGCCAGTGGATGACTTGGTGCAGCAACACAGGCCTGCTTCAGACTCCCTGGGGAGATGGCCGAGATCAGATGGATTACACAGCCATCACCATGTGACGTGCGATGACAAAAGTGTCCAGAGACTGGAGAGTAACACTGAGAAAACAGCACGGGCTGGACAGGGAAGAGCTGGCACAGGTACCTCACAACTGTCTTTAAATAAACCAGTTGTCTGTTCTTGGAGCAGTCCAGCCTTGGCTGTGTGACACTTGGCCTCGGGGAGCCTTTGTTTCTTCATCTGTGAAATGGGGATAATATCTGCCTCCAAATAAGATAATGGATGGGAAAACATTTCAAAAACAGTGGAACTGCTGTAAAACTCATAGGAGGCTGTTATGATTTGCCCTGAAAACGACTTGACTCACCAAGCAACGTTATCTTAATCTGGGTTCCCAAGGGAACTCTCCTACTGACCAGCCAAGGTGAGTATTATTTGTGTGACCTCAGCCACTCCCCTTCTCTTGGGGCCTTCATTTCATCATCTGTAAAACAGGGAGTTGGACTTGATAACCTACACGGACCCTAACATTCTGTGAGATCCCACACATGACATGTGCCCTGACTCCCTATTTCTCACTGTAAGGTCACAGAAGGCAAACCTGTAAGCTCATCTCCCTGACTCACCCTGGGTGGCCGAGTTTCTGAATGTGTAAGCCTGCAGCTCCTACCCATCCTCATCAGGCTCTGTACTGGACACCACCAACCCCCACAGCAGAGGACCTCCCAGAACACCCAGAGGGGCCATGGAGGGCCATGAGGACAGGGTGGTCTGGACCAAGTGCATCCCCACTCACAGCCTGAGATTCACTTTGCCCCTGGGCACTGCTCATTGGTTACAGCTGCTGCCGCATCGAAGAAAACACCTACCTCTGTAATAAAACAAAATGCTAGATTCTTCAAGTCTGCCCATGTAGGGAGAAACTTGGAAGGTCTGGGTTTAATTTTATTAAGGGAGCCCCCAAGCCAGCAGAAGACCAAAAGGCCATTTACAAAAGAAGCAGAGTATCTGCCAAGAGTCTTGGGCCAGGCCTGAATTTCAAAATCTAAGGGGCTGGAGGAAGAGGGAAAGCAGGAACTCATGCTTCCTGAGGACCCACTAAGGTGCCAGGAAATGGCCTTCCCATCATCCAGCATGAGAAGAGCTACCTATGCACCTACTGGATGCCACACACTTTATACATGTACCATCTTTGTTCACTTTCCACCCAACTTTGCAAGACTGCAAATATCACCGACATTTTATAGAAGAAAGTGAGGCTTTGGAGTCTAACTCCAAAGCCCTGCTTTCCTCAGCTACCTCCTTTATCAAGCATCCAGCTGTGGTCAGCTGAGCCGCTGATAATGGTCAGGCTGCATCATACACAAGTCTTTAGGGCAGGCGTGGGGTCCCCAACCCCCAGGCCGTGGACTGGTATCGGTCTGTGGCCTGTTAGGAACTGGGCCACACAGCAGGAGGTGAGTGGCGGGCAAATGAGCCAAAGCTTCATCTGCCGCTCCCCATCGCTCGCATTACCGCCTGAACCATCGCCCCCCTCTCCACCCCCGTCCGTGGAAAAACTGTCTTCCATGAAACTGGTCCCTGGTGCCAAAAGGTTGGGTACTGCTGCTTTAGGGGGGAAAAATCAATTTGGATTAATGGGGCAGAGCCGGGCTGGAAGAGCAGCTAAGGGTAATGAAGGAAGCAGGTGCTGGGACTCATCTGGATGACAGTCTCTTACATTTAGAAGACTCGAAACACACCCAACCCCACGTGCCTCCTGTTAATGGTGCCTGTGAGTCCTGGAGGTGCGGTGGCTGCCCCCAGCCCCTTCTGAGGTCTGAGAGAGGCCAGCAGGCCTGCTGCACTGACCACCAGGCGGCTCAGCCCCTTCTCACCACCTTTTGCGGGTAGGGGGGGCAGCCAGGCTGTTGTCTGGCAGCCAAGAAAGAACAAAAGACTTATTCACTGACTCAGCTCCTCTCTTAAGCAGGCAGAGTGGTGTTGACTTACAGTTTTTCCCTTGCCTTTGTATCAGAAAATAAAGACTCCCTCCAGAGCCAGAGCACAGACGCTGCAGGGGCAGTGGCAGGGGCAGGGAGCTGCAGACTGGCCACCTGAACCTCGTGGCCCAGACAACCAGGACAAAGACCCGCCAGGCTGAGCCCTCACCGCCCCCACTTGCCGCCCTGCCTCCCTTGAGAGGAAGCCTGGTACCTGCCTGCCCCTCCCGGCCAGGGGAAAGCTCTCTCCCTGGCCTTTGTGGGGAGGGGGATAGGGGGGCTCACGGCTTGCAGTAATTCTATCCTGACTTCTCTGGGGCCAGGACCGGGAGCTGGGCTGGCCAGAGAGAGCAGGTGTGGACAGAGCTGCTGCCTGTGTCTGACATCCTCTTTGGGGGGGTGATTGCAGGCACCCGAGACCTCCTTCAGGTAACACGGGTTCCTTCAAATTATTATGTAACTCTGAGCCACTGCTCCCTTCTCGGTCAGAAGCGGTGCTGTGCCACACTGCTGCTCAGGACAAGTTCCTCAAGGCAGCTAAGGTTAGGAACACCAACTGTCTGCCCAAACTACACTAATTTCATCCTCACAACAAACCTATGCGGCATCTATTAGGATCTCTGTTTCAGAGATGGGAAGGCAGATGCACAGAGGTTTAATCATTTATTCAAGCAAATGGTGGATTTGGGATTTGAACCCAGTACTTGCCTGCAGCCACCACCAGGTAAGATCGTCTTTTTTTAGGCAACGTTAGAGCTGGGAGTATCATCACTAACCTCCTGCCCCTATTTTACATATGAGGAAATCAGAGAAGGTAAATGACTTGTCCACTGTCACACCCAGAACTGGGTGTTCCAGAACTAGATCCTGGTTCTTTTAACTTTTAAACCCAGCTATTTTATTTTGAAAGTTCCAATTTTTCCTACTGTCCTATGCAATCCAATGCAAATTGGCATGAAGTTCCTGGGCCTCGCTGGACTTTTGGGAGATACTGGCAATCCTTAGACACACCTTATTGGCTGTGTAGCTTGGACACAGCACTTAACTTCCCTGGCTCTCAGCTCCTCACTGTAAAACGGTGTAAAAGTGGTCCTTCTAGTGTGGTCCTGAGGCTTGGGCGTGATCATCAGGGAAGGGCATTCAGTGGCGCCTCGCTTATTCAGAAAGCATGCAATAAATGCTGGCAGCTAGTGGTTATTTAACCTGATTGGTGTTCTACTGTTTACACGTAATACTTAATGGTAATCTGGGGTGGGTATGTGGGTGTGTGGAGTGGGGATACAGCCCCACTGAACAGACAAGAAACAAGAAACGGAGGTGCAGGGAAGTAGCAGGACCTGCGCTCAACAGCGCTTTCCAGAACACTCTGTTTTCTGACTCTGGGGAAAGATGGGGGCTGAGAGCTTGCCTCTAGCCCACATGCGGTTTCCTGTTGTACAGTCTGTGCTCAGAGCACTTTTGCCGAGGGAAGGGGTGGTCTGATGGTTAGTGACGGGGAGTCTGGTGACTTGGTGCCTCGCCCTGAGTTTACAGGAAAATAAATACAAGGCCTTGGGGCAATCCTGTGACAGCCTGAAGGAACAAATCTAGAAGAAAAAGGCTTGGCTTCCTCATTGGGCCTAAGAACTGAGCTTGCAATTAAGGACGTTTAGCAGTCAGTTCATGCACCTGGAGGCCTGGACACTGTCACAGGATTGGAGGAGAGCCAACTGCTATCCAGTGGCTGAAGAAGGAGGAAATATTTCAACAGCTAGACTCAGCCAGCACAGTTTGGGTCTGACTACGAACTATAACCAGGGTCTCCCCATCATTTCCTCTGACTCTGTGAAATGACAAGCAGGTGCCCCTGGACCTGCCACGTTAACCATCCCACTGAGGGCAGCAACCTTGCACTGGGAGTCAGGAGACACTCTCAGGTCAATACTTCCCCTCTCTGAACCTGTGCTTCCTGAATCACAGACGATCAGAGAAGCATTGGGTTCCAGAGAGTGCTAGTGCAGCACCCACATTTTACAGAAAAGAAAAATAGCTATGGTTTACTGACCACTTACTATGTGCCAGGCAGTCACATGCCTCAGCTACAGCAGTGCCCTGGAGTAGCAAACAGAAGCAACTTGCCGAAAGTCACACAGATCGCTAGTTAGTGGCAGGGCTAAGACTTAACTCCACCAAATGCTAGGTGTGTGACCTCAAGCAAGGTACATATCCTCTCTTGCCTCAGTTTCCTAATCTGTAAACTGGGGATAATAACAGCATTTACCTCAGAAGGGGTGATTGCGAGGATTGAGTTAAAGTGTGCATATCATTTGAAGCAGTGCCTGGCCTCTGGTAAATGTTCGCTACTGCTGCTATTGTTGTTGTTATTCTTACCCAACACTTCCCCTTTTCCATCTGTAAAATGAGGAGGCTGACTACATTGCCCTAAGGACATCTCAGTTTATTTAATGCTGGGTGACCCACTGGGGCTGTGGGCTCAGACGTGGTCTTCACCACTGGAAAATGCAGGCCACCACATCACTTCCCTTACAGGAAGCCTTCCCGGACCATAGAAAAGAAACATCACACATACTCTGGACTAGAAGTCAAATCCCCTGATTTCACCCAAGATTTTGCAAATAATTTTCCCAGAGTTAGCCAGCGCTGTAAAAACGGGCATAACTCTGGCTTATCATCATGCATCTGTCACTGGCTTTGAGACCCTTTTCCACATGGCATCTCAGGGGACCTCTCAAAATAAGCATTCCTCCTTCTGCCGTCCCAGCCACAGGTCATGTCCCTGAGTTTCCCAGGTAGCCTCTCTGGCTTTCTCATATGTGGTGTAGAGTAGCTAACAGACTCCCTATCCTCTTACTCACTTCCTTCCTCCTGTCCTAAAGGAGATCCCACTGCTTATGGCTCAGGACATTCAAGCCCCAACTGCAAAAGCAGTGGCTGGGAACTTTTTCTAGTAGCAGAATTTTATAACTCACAGAAAGAATTCAATCTCAGGGTCCCTGCAATGAGAGCCCAGCCTGATTTCTGCAGGGCCACTCACTTCCACACCAGGCACGCTGGATTAGACAGCAGGGAATGTGGTGTCAAAAGAGCTGGGTTTGAATCCAGCCACTCCCAGGCAGTATAACCTTGAGCAAGCTCACTTCACCTTTCTGATGACGGCTTCCTCACTTGTAAAATGGAGAACAAGAACCCCTACCTCAGGAGGCTTTTGGGTGAGGAGTAAAGGCACCAAAGGAAAGGGTTTGTCCAAGGTCACCTGGTAAAGACTAGAACCAAGTCTCTACATCTTGAGCTGGTTTTCCTCTTCCAACACCTCACTTCCTTTATGGGTAAGAATGCCACAAAGGAGTCTGCTTTGACTTTGTGGACCTTCCTCTCCTCTCTCAGAGAGCCCAGAAGAGAAGCTACTGACCTCTTGTAGGTGTAACCGAGGACGATGCCAGCTCCAATGCCGATGATGATCACCATCATGGTAACGCCCAGCACGTACCCTGCCAAGGACAGGACACAAGGTATACCATTATCTCCACCCCAGATAATCAGCAAATATTTCTCAATAAATCCCACAAGGACAGGGGTGGGCAGTCATACCCAGGGTTCCCAGGTCCTTTTTCTCCTTGGAGTTCACCCGCACCCGCTGGCTGATCCCAATCACTGGCTGCACGGCAGCGGCCTCGCTCTGGGCAGGCAGGGTGTTGGCAGGAGCAAACACCTGCACCTCATCTCCTCCTGGCACTTCAGACATCTCCTCGGTTTCTGTTGTAGAGGTTGGCAGGCCCTGGAAATTGGTCTCTGGAGGTGAAGTGGGAAACAGCTCTCATCAGAAAGTGCCTTGAGTTTGGGGGGAGACGAGGGGGCCCACCTTAAAACGCACTTATTTCAAGACCTAGGGGCAAGACCAGGCCTAAGGGCTGCACCACAGCTGGGACGAGGCCAAGGTGAGGGGAAGGCTATGAGAAAGGGCCTCTCCTGCCTCCCACGTCTTCATATGCTCAAATCCTTGCCATCTTCCAAGGTCCAGCTCAGCTGCCACCTCCTCCAGGGGTCCCCCCTCTATGCCAGGAAACAATCCACGACTCCTCTAAGCAGCTCAGGTTTGTTGAGCCCAAGCTTTATGCCAATCCCTATGTTATATGTTTACATATCCCATTTAATCCTAGAGAATCGTCTTGCTGCGCCGGGAGCCACAAGTATGCACTATGGAGTCTAAGAAACTTGGATTCAAACCTGGACCCTGCCACTGCCTTTGGTAAATCGCTGAACTTCTCTTTGAGGCTCAGATCCCCCAAACTGGTTCTTGGGGATGGCGGGGGTGCTGTGAGCTGAGTGCCTAGCACACAGAAGACGCTCCACAAGAGGTCCGTAAACGCCCAGGATCTCACTAAGGGCGTGGACCCGGGACGCGCGACTCTGCGGCTCCCCAGGCGGTGCTTGGGGCAGGGAGCTAGGCCGAGGGGCCGGGCCTCACCGCCCACGGTTGTTTACTAGGCGCTCGCGGAGGATGAGCTCATTCCAGGCGGTGGCTCCGGCCAATGGGCTTCGGGCCCTGCGGCCTGGAGACAGCCCTGGCCAATCGGACGGCGCAGGGCGGGGCGGGGCCGGCCGGCGTCGCGCGGCCGCACGTGCGCTGCCGGCTCTCTGGCCCCCCCTGGGCGCGGGGTCCCAGGCGGGTACCTGGGCAGCGCAGGTCCTTGCAAGGCCGCTTCTCGGGAGCGCCGGCCTCGCCGCTGACGTAGCACCAGGGCCCACGTGGGTCCTGGTCCGGGTTCCGGCAGTAGCTATGGTTGCCGGTGCCTGGGAGGGGAAAGAAGGCGCCATGGGCCGGGGCCGGGACGCAGCCGCCGCCGCCCGCCCGCCCGAGGCCAGCCTCCCGGGACAGGCACTCACCCGACTCGGGGGCAGATACCAGGCTGCTCTGCGCGTCCAGCCAGTTGAGACAGAGGAGGCCCGGTGCGGGAGACGGCTGGTCAGCCCGGTACAGGTGGCCGTTGTCCCAGAAGCAGCCTGTGAGGAAGAGGAGTCCCCCGGACAGGACACTGAGTGGCGGGCAGGGGAACCCGGGCCCATCCCAGCTGGGAGACGCTGCCCTCACGTGGAAAACCCGGCCTGCCTCGCAGGGTTGTGAGGCCGGAAAGAGAAGGGAGGGAGAGCGCGAGAAGAGCCCCCAGCCGGTGCCCGGTGCCCGGCCCCCAACGCTCAGTATTAGCTTTTTTTCTTTCTCTTTCGTAAGCTGGAAAGCACTGCACGACCCAAGGGGTTGTTGCTCTGGAACTTGTGGCCAGTTTGCAGAGGGTGCTGGGGAGCCCTGGGTTCAGGTCTCTGGAGACGATGGGAGTTTTCGGTCGGTGGGCAGCCGGACCTGAAATCCATCCCTGTGTTGTCATTCCATGTTGCATAAACTCTTGTGTTCCCTTCTCTGCGGATGTGGCCACGCTTCCACAGGCAACACTCCCTACCAAGAGAATTCTACAAAAGCCTTGATTCAGTCACGGAAAAGAGAGCCTCAGACAGAGGGAACCAGCCTCCTCGCTGCCTGGATGTGACTCCAAACTCCCACTCGCCTCAGCAGGAGAGCCGCAGGAAGGGGCTGGGGGAGGAGGGCCTGCGCTCTGGTGACACCGTGCAAAGCCCCTGAAAAGAACAGTACTTAGGAGTAGGGGAGATGAACCCCCAAGTTCCATCCACTCATGAGCCACAGGCAAGGAAAAGGAAAGAGAAAGTGGCTACTTGCCTTTGTTCTTAATGGCAAAGATGGAGCTGCAAGCTCCTGGCAGGGAAAGGAGAAAGGGGGGAAAAAAAAAGGCTTTCATGGGACAACAGGAACCTGCTAAAAGCTTCGTTTCCTGTCATCTTCCTTCCTGCTTGGGAAATAGGGAGCTCTACCCTTTCTGCTTCATTAAGTTGCTGCAGAAAGGAAAGATAGTAATCTCACCTCCAGATCCATAGGCTTTTGCCAGGAGCATGTTGCTGACGACGAGGATTGTTTGCAGCCAGGCCAACAGCATCCTCACCTCCTTCGTCCTGCAGGTGACTGACCAACCAGGGTCCAACCGGGGTCCCCTTGGCGGCGGCTCTGCCTCCCGTTCCCAGCCTTGCAGTCAGACCTGCCCTTGTTATGCTCTTCTGGTAAACAGCCTCTCTTTAGAACTGGGAGCTTCCCAGCCAGCTTGCTGCAGCGAGGTGGTTTTTGTTTTTTTTTCTCTCTCGGCTGAAAGGCGCCCCCTGGGTCCTAAGCCTCCTATGTCAGGCTCATCACTCTACCCTGAGTGAGGAGAGGAACTCAGCCAAGCGAAGAGAGGCAAAAAAGTTCAGGTTGTGCTTAGCAGTGGTTCAGCTTGAGACCTGCACTGTCTGCATCCCCGGGGCCTTTCATCTCTTCTGTTTCCATTTTTGTGAGTACAGAAAGAATAATTTTGTCAAGAGGCATCACTGGGGGTGGGGGTGGGGGCAGGGAGTTTAGAATCACAGTGACTAAGGCAGAACCACTTAGGGAGAACATGCTAGCTACACAACCAGGAGGAACTTGAGACCGTGGATGGGGCACAAATCAGAGCATCCAGGTGGAAGCAGCTCTTTATACCCATTCTTGAAAAAGAAAAAGGGCCTTTGTAGTTTATACATGTTTATAAACACTGACTCTTTTTTTTAAAGAGTGTAACTTTGCCAGGGTCAGATCAGTCACATACCTTTGCTTATATTTGGGGTTTGGGGTGTCATATATAGTAGGAATAAGTAGGAATACAGAAGGGATCTCTAGTTGGAAACACGTCTTGCAGACACATTGGGATATCTGCTCAGCTATATTTAATAGTCTGGCCTTTCTACCAGCCCTGAGTTCCTATAGAGGAAGTAAAATGTTTGCCTTCCCCCCCCACCACCACCCCCACCCTGTGGGAATTCCATCTGCAGCCGTTTATATCCATCATTAAACCTCACCACATCCATAGGACTGAGACCTTCTGGAGTTAGGCAACACAGCTCTCTTCCTGTTTGGCTGACAGCTCCAGTTCCCAGGCAGCCTCAGTAAACTGAGAGATAGAGCAGAGTGATTTGCCAAGATTACCTTGTGACTCAGGCAAATCTCAGAATAGAAATGGGAGACTGTTTGGATCTGAGGGCTTGCATCTTGCAGGCAGTAATTTAGGGAGGAGGGAAAAGAAGAAAACTTTACTACATAAATGTCAAAAGTTTTCTCAAGGAAGAAAGCTAATGTCAAACCAACTAATATGAAGTGAATTTGGATTCACTACACTCAGATTTCAGACATGGAAAGGACAGAAAGATACATTTAGTTTACTCTTTGGAGATGTTTGCTGACCATATTTGATTCCTTCCATCCATTAAATAAGACATGTTGCTTTGTTTTTGCAATCACTCTCCTAACTCCCCACACAAGCTTGTGATCCTCTGACTCCTGACTTGGTGTCCACTGGGAGTCACACCATATGGAGTCTGTAAATTTACTCTCACACCCACACATATGTACACAGATACGCCAAAATTTTATAACTTAATAATTCTAACAATATTCAGGTGTCTTTTTAATGCTTTTATTAATTTTACAAAAATTTAAAAAAAAATTTAAGAACCTCCTACAACTACATGCTAGATATAGTTCTTTTTTTTTCTTTTAATTTATTTTATTTATTTTTGGCTGCATTGAGTCTTCGTTGCTGCGTGTGGGCTTTCTCTAGTTGTGGCGAGCGGGGGCTACTCTGTTGTGGTACGCGGCCTTCTCATTGTGGTGGCTCCTCGTTGAGGAGCACAGGCTCTAGGCACGCGGGCTTCAGTAGTTGTAGCATTCAGCCTCAGTAGTTGTGGCTCGCAGGCTCTAGAGCACAGGCTCAGTAGTTGTGGCTCACGGGCTTAGTTGCTCTGCGGCATGTGGGATCTTCCCGGACCAGGACTCGAACCCATGTCCCCTGCACTGGCAAGCGGATTCTTAACCACTGCACCACCAGGGAAGCCCTAGATATAGTTCTGGATACTGAGATACTGAGAATATATCTGTGAACAAAATATTTTGAAATCTCTGCCTTCATGAAGCTTACATTCTAGTTGAGAAAGATGACAAATCTATAAGATGTCAAGTGGTCTTAAGTGTTATGAAAAAAAGTGAAACAGGGTAAGAGGGAGAGAGTAACAGGGTGGTATTTCACTTGCTAAAGAAAGCTTACACTATTTTTAGGGAACCAGTAGGTTATTTCTACAGGGAAAAGACTGAAGGGGAAGGTTCTTTGCACAGTTTTCCTTGCAGGTCCTGAATACTCTTACACCACTGCAAGAGATCTATGATGCATATTTTGTTTCATTACATAAAATACATTGGCTTGAGAAAATGAGAATGCAGTTCTAATTTCAGAGAAGCAGGGGGTTCTTTTGGATCCCTCAGCACCTAATCTGTTGCCTTTGTATGCAGTGAGTGCTCAATTATTGTCTGATGAAATGCTCTTCCTTAGACTTTGAACGGCTACTTCTGCTGGATTGTAATACTCTTCCTTCTGATTACAGTAGAGACAGGCTGTACTCAGACCTGCACTTGTACCATTTTCAGTTTATCTACTGTGCCTATGTAGGGGTGCCAGGACTTCCTCCTCAGAAGCCCAAAGCTTCTTTACCTGTTGCTGTTATCATCTAATTTTTCTGTTTAAAAAACTGCTATCTTCCCTAACTTATACACTTTGATATAACAGCAAAACCATATTTTGTGCCGTGTGTCTTTTGAGGAATAGCACTGCCTGGAAGAGATATAAGACAGGCCAGAGGAGATTTTTATTGGCTTAGTCATCTCTGCTTTTTCTCCCTTATAACTAAGACATTTATCAGGATGATTTGATTTTTTTCGAGAATGACGGACTTGTTGCTCATCCTTCAAAGGCATATTCTGTTATAACCGGGTCAGTACCTTCCTTCCTCAAGGAAATCAGATCAAGTTCAGAGATGTGCCTGTCATCATCATTGGTGATGTTTTGGTCTTTTTCTTAGAATACAAATTTGAACTTTGCTTCATGTGTTAGTGCAATATGTCCATATTTTATGGCCTATAGTTATTCTAAACTTCAGATTTCTTCTGAAAATATTACTACAATAATAATGCGATACAGCACTACCCAAATAGTCACTTTGGATTGTTTATATCCTGAAGACAACGTTGTGAAATATAATCATATCTTACTATTTCAGGGATGTTTAACTGTTGGTTTTATATTAAATCAGTGCTAATCCAGAGAGACAAAGCTGTACAGTTAACTCAGGAAAGAGCCTCCAGAGCATTTCCCAAGAAAGCTGGACAGTTCATTTTAAACTTAGAAGAGCTCTAAGGAAGCCATAACGCTGTTAAAAGGCTTAAGAATCCTTTTGTCAGCAAAAGGGCCAAGGTGTTGGTAAAAAATTCTTCGTGGTAAGATCTAATGAGTTGACTCCCGATATTCTCTCCATATTATGTGCTGTGGAAGTGGCCACTGAGATTTTGCTGAGAGATATTTGGGTGTACAATTGCAAACTGAGCAGGAGATGGTTTTATGAAGTTTGTTAAGGAAATCATAGTCCAGTCAAAAGATCTAAACTTCAAGGCCGTTTCTAAAGTATGGCCTTCAGTGAGTTAGATTATGTCCATATTGGTACATAGTTAAGTGTTTAATAAACGTTTGCAATAAAGGGAAAAAGCAGAGTATGTGAGGAAAAGAGTCTAAGCTGACAGAGAATAGTAATTTTTTAAGGGTAAGCAATAAAACAGCCAAGAAGGCTTGTGGATCACAGGCTACTTTCAGAAACAAGACATTCCATGTTGGGGAGATGAGGGGCCACAAGAGCAGGGAACTTGGGAACATCAATCACATCACTGGTTTTGGGAAATAAAGGGAAGAGTAAATTCCTGAATGAGAGCTGATTTTGAGTTAGAGGCCAGTCTTAGAAAACAAGGCTTTCACATGGAGGAAAACAGCCTTCAGCGTTGAAGGGAGAGAAGTAGAGACCATAAACTTAGTTGGCTGGTAAGACTAGACTGGAGATGTTTAAGGTAAATTAACTCACTAAGCTACAATTATGCTTCTTTTGGAAGGGAATTTAATATTCTCCTATCTCAGTAAACTGGATCTGCAGCTTTCAAAATTTATCAACACCCAGTATGAGCTTTAGCACGGTTATTTAAGCAAAAGAAGCAGTGTAATTAAGAGTGCAGGCCTTGGGAAGACCTGGGTCCCAGTCCCAGCACTACAGTATGACCTTGGGTAAATTACTTAACATCTGTAATTCCAAGTTTCCTTAGCCTCTGATTACAGGGGTTGAGAACACAGGCACAAATGTCAGCATTCAAATCCCAGCTCTGTCGCTTACTAGCTGTGTCATCTTAGGGAAGCTACTAAACTCCCTGACTCAGTTTCCTCATATGGAGGGAGAGAGAGAGAAAAATAGTACCTACATCTTTGGATTGTTGACATTCATTGAGCCCTGAATAATTGTTAATTTTTAATAATGTGTCAGTAACCTCTGACTTAGAAGTACTGAGCACATTTGCTATCTTCCAGAAACTTGCAATCTGGTTATAAAGATCAGGCTAACACATATGAAAATAAAAGCAATATAGGGCATTTATAAGTAGGTGTTAAAGAGTATGACACAAACAATAAAGGTTTATTGATTCACTGATTATTTATTAAATGCTGTGCACAGGCAGGTACTAAGCCGAGTACTGAGGATACAACAGTGACCCTAACCAGGTCCTTGTTCTTGAGAAGTTCACAGTCTTGTGATAGAGCAGGTACCAGTGGACAGGCAAAACAACGCAGAGAAATCAATGCTACAGTAGGGATTACCATTGGGGGCTACAGGGGCTCACAGGAGGGGCATATGGCCTAGTTTCAGGAGGTCAGAAAAGGATTATCAGAAAAAGTAAAATCTGAAGGGCAAAGAGTTAAGTGTCTTTTTTTTATTTTTGGCTGCGTTGGGTCTTCGTTGCTGCACTCAGGCATTTTCTAGTTGTGGTGAGCAGGGGCTACTCTTCGTTGTGGTGCACGGGCTTCTCATTGCAGTGGCTTTTCTTGTTGCAGAGCACGGGCTCTAGGTACGTGGGCTTCAGTAGTTGCAGCACGTGGGCTTTAGAGCACTGGCTCAGTAGTTGTGGCGCACGGGCTTAGTTGCT